GCCTGGGAGCATGGCATGCCAAGGATATAAAGCAATAAATCCATTACGGGTTTTAAATGCATCTCTCCAACGATAAGGGTCAAGTCGACGGAGAGGTAATGATCACCGAATAGGCACACCACAACTGCCCTGCAAATTACAAACAAAGTAAAGCTCTTTCACCAAAGCAATGTATGTGTATTGATCTTTCCGTAAACTAGGTTCCTGTATTTAGATAATTATGCACTTGTATGGCAAGCAAATCTCTTTAACACATGCCCGGCTGAGCTTTCGAGGCAGGAGACCGTGTCAGGGAGGGTGTTCCCCACGTTGGGCGTTTAACATTCAGGAAGCACCTTTGGACCGCTCTGGATGATGGAGATAATGCCGTCCTCCTTTTTTTATGGGCAATAAACAAATGTTTTTTTTTTGGTAAAAAGAAAGGCAACTTAGCGTGTTCTATGCCTAATATTTACCAATTAATCCTAAGCTTCGTCGTTTTGTGTGTAAATGTCAGACAAAACAGAATGAATAAGAAAAATTACCCAATGTGAAATTATAATAGCTTTTTTTTAATGAAGGGGGTTGCCAGAGCGCGAGTCGAGGTATGGTGAATAAAGTATCTCGCCGGGAAAGGGATAGAAGTAGGGTAAGCGCAATTATGATTGGCTATAAAAAACAATGAAGAGTATAGGCCGGCCCACATAGAACTTTCGCGTTGGTTTTGGCATTGGCGTTGGTTTGACAGAACGCACGTTAAAAGTATGCTTGCTACAATGAACGCTTAGCAGCGAATGCTTGGGCCACTAAATNCTGAGCGCAATTATGATTGGCTATAAGAAAACAATGAAGAGTATAGGCCGGTCCAACATAGAACTTTCGCGTTGGTTTTGGCGTTGGCGTTGGTTTGACAGAACTCACGATAAAAGTATGCTTGCTACAATGAACGCTTAGCAGCGAATGCTTGGGCCACTAAATTAACATACTAACTGTTAGCGCAGTTACTTGCTTGTTAAAGCGTATTGATGCTCTATTTGTACCTTAATGTCGTTGTTATCGAAGTTACTTGCTTGTTAAAGCGTATTGATCCTCTATTTGTACCTTAATGTCGTAACGTAATAATTGTTATCGAGTTTTATAAATTTGTAAAACGACCACAGCACTAGTGAAATATCAAAAACTCATTCGTGATCTGGGTTGAAGTGAAAGAAGCACACAAAAGTGAAATAAAGCACCACGCCTTGGAAAGCGTTTACAGCAAAGGCTTGCTTTTATTTCGTTCCTTGCCGGATCGCGTCTCAACAACATCCTTTATTCACTTTTTGCCAAAGAAAAATAGCAAGTGACGTGCGTGGATAGGAGTACGCACGTGGAGTAGAATTGCGCAGCGGACTAGGTAAAAAGTGTGCACCGGAAGTATTGAGTGTGCAGCACCGGGAGTATTAAGTGTGCATCGGCTACATTGGGTCCTGCATCAGCATTTTAAAGATTGTAAAAACGAAACTAAATTGTGCACCTGCGTTGGGTTGCGGTTCGCGGTAGTATAAGGGTGTACCAGCCTTCTTGATTCGCATTCGGAGTATTAAAACGCGCACCAGGAGTATTAAAGCGGTACACGGTCGGAGCGCATCAAGCGAAGGGCACACTGGGGCCATAAGCAAGATCCTGTGGAGTGGCGCGTAGACCAAGGAGGCGTACGGAGTATCAAGCAAACAAGCGAGAGGAGATTTGGTAAGTGCTTATGAGAGATTGATTTGGGTAGGGGGTTCGTTAGTCGGTTAGTAGGTCTATAAGTAGGCAAAAACCACCACGTAACCTCCGAAAAATTAAAAAGGCGGGAAAAGCACCGCGTATCCATTTTTTCTTTGTTGAAACACGCGCCGAGCAACCATTTTTAAATATGCCAGTAACACGTTCGGGCACAAGTACGGATAATAGTGCGAGAGAAGGAGACGGTGATAACTACGACGAACTTGAAGCAACCGTAGTCGAGCAGATTCCAACGAATCAAATCGTGCAACCGTCGGTAGAAACAATACTAGCGGAAATTTTGCAGCAGGTTCAAAACCTACAGGAGGAACTGAGACAGACTAAGCAGGTGCAAGCAAACACGGTCGGCGCAGAAGATAGCTATGGAATTATTACAGCTGCCTTCAGTAAAACCGGCCGCTCTCAAACCACATCGCAAGTGGGTGCAATACGGAAACTCTACGATTTGCCGGAATTCGACGGCCGTCTAGAGGACTGGCCAATGTTTAAGGTAATATTCATAATCACTACAACGGAGTACCAGTACAGTGACACGCAGAACATGATGCGCTTACAGAAAGCAATCAAAGGCAAAGCAAGGGAGACGATCGAGTGTTTACTAATACACAGCAGAAACGTGAAGCAAATCATCAAAACTTTAGAAGAACGCTATGGGAAGCTGGAGCTGCTGGTGAAGAGTCAATTAAAGAAGATACGAAGTGTGGCACCAATCTCCGAAAATCATATCGACCAGTTAGTGATGTTCGCGACGAAGGTTCAAAATTTATCCTCCTTTCTTCAGGCTGCTGATTGTGAGTATCATTTGTCAAACCCTACGTTGATGGAAGAGTTGCTGATTAAACTGCTTATGCAAAGGCGTATTGAGTGGGCACGATATACCTCTACGATTGTACCGCGACCAACGATATGCCACTTTAGCGACTGGCTACAAGAATTATCCAAAATTGTGAATTCAGCCTGTGTGTACTCGAGCTTGGAACCGCGCCAACCAAGAACAGAAGGGCGCCCAAGATTTTTCCACACAAACGAGGTCAGTAGTGAAAGTTCGTGGCGAGGTAAATGCGAAGCGTGTGCAGAGAGGCACGCACTTAGTAAGTGTAAAAGATTTTTAGACATGGATCAAGGAGAGAGGTGGCGTTTAGTTCGTCGAAGGAGACTTTGCTTTAATTGTCTGAAAGGCAATCACCGTAGCAGCGTTTGTCGTGAACAACACGAATGTGGTGATGAGCATTGCACAAAACGGTGGCATGCCCTTCTTCACGAGCGTAATGAAATAGAACGTATACGTGAGGTATCGCACAGGCAACAATCGTCACGGCAAGCATCGAATCACGTAGCACAGCAGCAGCAACAAGCCGTGCAGCTACAACCCGTTTCACCGGAGGGAATACAACAAATTTTTACGAACACTATCCCGTCTAACAAAGCATCGAAATTGTTGTTTAAAATTGTACCAGTTATATTGTACGCCAATTCGAGAGAAATCAAAACTTATGCGTTTTTCGACGAAGGGTCTGCTATATCACTAATCAACCGTGCCTTAGCAACTCGTCTTGGGCTTAAGGGGTACAGCGATAGTCTAACGTTGCAATGGTTTGGCAGCACAACTGTCACTGAACCTTCTTGTAGGGTAGATGTAGAGATTTCCGGTATTGAGCGAGGTAGCAAGAAGTTTA